GAGCCACACTAGGACTCCAGATATAGATGTAGTCTATACCAATCCAGATACAGAAGTTATTTAAAGTAAAACCTACAAGACTGAAAATAGGGAACCAGAGCTATCAATTTATAATGAATTCAACTGCAAAGCAAAAAGAAGGGCTAGTATAGATACAGAACTTCCAAATAGCGAGGGAGTTAAGTAGATTTCAAGATAAAACAGATTGGTTTCAATGGGGGAAAAATTAATTACAGCGTAACCTCAAAGAAATTAATAAACCTTCACATCAATATAAAAAAGAGGAAAATCGGAAAAATTGAGTAAACATTTACACAACAGACATGAAGAAAATGAAAAGAAAACCCACAAACAAAATGAACTCAGCAAAGAAGATGATGTGGAACCAAAACTCAAGAGTACCACAAATAAAAGCACACAATGAAATGGCAGCATGGAGTTCCTACCTATTAGTAATTACAATGAATGTAAATAAACTAAATACACCAGTCAAGGGACAGAGAGTTGCAGAATAGAGAAGAAAACAGAATCCTTCAATATGCTGTATGCAAGAGATCATCAAAAATATGGAGATAGCCCATCAACAGAAGAATGTTTAAACAAACTTTGGAATGTACACACAAAGTACTACTACTCAACCTTGAAGAATACTTATGAATCCTCAAACCACCTCACACATGGATGAACCTGGTGGACATTATGCTGAGTGAAATTAGTAACAAAATTACAAATGTTGTATGAGACCACTGTTGTAAAAAGTTATTAAAAGATTTTCTTGATAAAACCATTCAAGCAGTTAGGTGATACAATGACGGTTTCTCTGATGGTTTCCAGCAGGGAGGGAATGTTAGTTATGGGCTAGAGGGTAGAAATATGTTATCATGTGTGATGGGGCAGACAATATACAATAGAGGGATTGACAGGCAAAAATGAAGGTAGTGAGAGACACAGAGAAATTGTTAACTGATGACTTATGGGAGGGGATTGCAATCATTGAAATGAAGCAAAGTGTATGGTTTGTTGAATATCAGACTGATTATCTGCTTTGTAAACCTTCACTCGATTTGCAAGAAAAAGTTAAAAAACAAAGCTAAACTAAGCTATCTAACTTAACCAGTAAGCCAATGAAAGGCATTCGGGTTCATTAGTAATGAGGGAAATATAACTTGAAACCACAATGTGATGGCACTGTGCATGTATCATAGAGCTAAGTGGAGTGGCGAGATTAAGGAACAGTTGTCATCGCAAACACTGTTGATAGAACTGAAAATTGATACAGTCACTTTAGAATACTGTATGACAATGTATACTGAAGTTTAACATACGCAAAGAGTTGTGTACATATATTCCCAAAGCACATAAGTTAGAATGTTCATAATAACCATTTTCCCAGTGGTGTCGTGGTATGGTGCTTAGGATCAGCACTGGACCGCTAGGTCGACGGTCCAAACACACTAGTCGCTCCTCAGAAATCCTGTACAGGGACAGGGTCGCTATGAGTCAGAACCAACTCGACAGCACTTACCAACAACAGCACCATTCCCAGTAGCCAGAACCTGGATACTACTCAAATGCCCATTAACAATGGAGTGGACAAATTGTGATATATCATATAATGGGGAGTTTGGTGACTCAATACAGTAAGCACTGGGCTGTGAAACACAAAGGCCTCGGTTTAAGCCCACGAACCGCTTGTTGGGAGATAAGGCTTTCTGCTCCCGCAAAGATTTAAAAGCCCTGGAAACCCTAACCAGGGTCGCTGTGAGTTGGAACCTTCAGGACAGCACTTAACAACAATTCATATAGTAGAATACTAACAACAGTAGCAATTAGTGACCTACAACTACATTCAGCAGGTGTAAATGTCATAAGCATAATGTTGAACTAAAGAAGCCAGACAAAAGAGTACAAACATTTCCATTGACATAAAGTTCAGAGGCAGGCAACACTCATCTCTAGTGTTAAGGCAGGGTAGTCATGACTCAGGGTAGTGACCTGACTGGAAGGGAGCACAAAAGGCACACCCATGGGTGCTAGCAATCTGTTTCTTGATCTGGATGCTGGTTGTTATTGTTTAAGGTTCCATCGAGTCGGTACCGACCCATAGCGACCTTATGCATAACAGAACAAAACACTGCCCGATCCTGGGCCAACCTCACTACTGTTGCCACGCTTGAGTCCATCGATGCTGCCACATGGCCAGTCCATCTCGTTGGGGGTCTTCCTCTTTTTCTCTGACCCTCCACATTACCAAACATGATATCCTTCTCCAGCAACTGGTCCCTCCTGACAATATATCCGAAGTATGAGAGACCAAGTTTGGCCATCCTGGCCTCCAGGGAGCACCCTGGCTGCACTTCTTCCAAAACAGATCTGTTGGTTCTTTTGGCAGCCCATGGCACTTTCAGTATTCTCCTCCAACACCATAATTCAAAAGCATCAATTCTTCTATGATCTTCCTTATTCACTGTCCAGCTTTCACATGCATATGAGGTGATTGAAAACACCATGGCTTGGGTCAGATGCACCTTAGTCCTCAAGCTGACATCTTTGCTCTTCAACACTTTGGAAAGGTCTTGTGCAGCAGATTTGCCTAATGCAATATGTCGTTTGATTTTTTGACTGCTGCTTCCATCAGTGTTGATAGTTGATCCAAGAAGAATGAAGTCCTTGACAACTTCAATGTTTTCTCCATTGATAAGAATGTTGTTTATTGGTCCAGTGGTGAGGATTTTTGTTTTCTTGACATTGAGATGCAATCCATACTGAAGGCTGTGCTCTTTGATCTTCATCAGTAAATGTTTTAAATCCTCTTTACTTTCAGCAAACAAGGTTGTGTTATTAGCATATCACAGGTTGTTAATGAGTCTTCCTTCAATCCTGATGCCATGCTTTTCTTCATAGAACCCAGCTTCTCAGATTATTTGCTCAGCATACAGATTAAATAAATACAGTGAAAGAATACAATCTTGTCGCATACCTTTTTTACTTTTAAACCATTCAGTGTTCCCATGTTGTGTTCGAACAACTGTTTCTTGGTCCAGGTACAGATTCCTCATGAGCACAATTACGTCTTCTGGAATCCTCATATTTTGCAATGTTGTCCATAGCTTGTCATGATCCACACAATCGAAAGCCTTTGCGTAGTCTGGATGCTGGTGTGTGGAAATATTTTCTCTGACAAGTCATTGAGTTTTACATTTATGATTTGTACACTCTTCTGGTGTATATTTTATGTTGGTGCATTTTTCATGAAAATCTGACTGTAGTATTACTGGTCTGCCAAGCAACCTAGATTGTAGAATATGAATTCTTTCCAATTAAGCCATTAGTTCCTTTGGGTTTTGGCTATATGGCAAAGTAATTTTTGCCAGAGATTACTCTCAGCTAATGAAACTGGAATTGTTTCTGGGTACTTTATACTCTTTATGGCATAACTTCCAATTTTAGTTCATCCCTTCAGTCAGTTCATCTATCTAAATACAGTGCTGTTCATTAGCTCTTTCTGTAGTGATGAAAGTGTTCTATATTGGTGTTCTGTATCTGTCTGGTGGTGGTTAGCCACATGTGACTGGCAAGGACTTCAAATATGGCTGAGACAACTGAGGAATGGAATTTTAAATTTAACTTTAAATAGCCACACTTGACTGGCATCTACCATATTGAATAGTGTAGAGATAATGTTTATATTTTTTTGCTTAGGCGCATGTTGATTCCTTAATTGTGTGTTTTCAGTTTCACCATCTCTTGAATTAAAGTCCATCTAAATGCTACTATTAGAAAGAACATGGGAATTTGGGATATTGTTTCTTCATGGGCTGTTCTTCACTGAGAAGGAAACATGGCTAAATTTATCTGTTTAGAACTATGTTATATATAAATAAATTGGTCTCTGGATGCATGTTGTTGTATGCCATCGAGTTGACTGACTCATAGTGACCCTGTACAGGGTTTCTGAGGAGTAGCTGTTGGGTTTGAATAGCTGACCTTTTGGTTAGCAGTCTTCAGTGTTTACCATACCTTGGATGCATAAATGAGTATGTTTATATTTTGATAGTTATATTGTGCTGAATACTGTAATCAGTTGTACTCTGTTCTCCACATGTATTATGTTTTGGTACCTCAGTGACTTTTTCTTTTAAATGAGTTATTTGCAGGTGGTGCTGTGTGGATAAGCACTGGACTGCAAGGTCGGTTTGAACTTTAAGGTGGTGGTTCAAACCCACCAGCCACTCATTGGAAACCCTGTGCAGGATTGCTATGAGTCAGTGGCACACAGCAACAGTATATATTGAGGAGTCCTCGTGTGGTGCTATAGGATATGCACTAAACTGCCACCCATGAGTCAGTGGTTCAAATCCACCAGCCTCTCCTCAGAAACCATGTACAGGGTTGCTATGAGTTGGAACTGACCTGCTGACACTTAAGAACAACAACAAAATATATTGAAGGGGGTCCTGGTATGGTGCTGTAGGATAAGCACTGGACTGCTAACTGCAATATCAGTAATTCAGACCCACCAGCCACTCCTCCAAAACCCTTTATAGGGTCGTTCTGAGTTAGAACCAACTTGATACATTTAACAGTAAGAACAACAACAATACATAGAGAAAAAAGCTGTTGTGGTGCAGTGGTTAAGCACTCAGCTGCTAACTGAAAGGTGTGTGGTTCAAACACATTAGCTATTCTGTAGTAGAAAGATGTGCAGTCTGCTCCCATAAAAATCTTTCTGTTAAGTGCCGTTGAGTTGGCTCCGACTCATAGTGACCCTGTCGGGTTTCTGAGGAGCAGCTAGTGGGTTTGAACCGCTGACCTCGTGGTTCGCAGTCCAGTGCTGAGCTTTGCAAACTGTATGTGGCAGTTCTCTGTCCTGCAGGTTTGCTATGAGTTGGAATTGACCCCGTGGCAGTGGTTTTAATACATATTAAACATGAGACTCTTGCTGGCGCACTTTTGGAAAAGCTTGTGCTCATGCCCATACATTGTTGCTGCTCTTGCAGAACCGGGGCCATCCTGCCTGGGCAGCATGCTCATGCCTGCTCAGGAGACTGCATGGGAGGAGCTCATCCGCACAGGCCAGATGACACCTTTTGGTACCCAGATCCCTCAGAAAGTGGAGAAGAGGCCTAGAAGAATAATGCTCGATGAAGCATCAGGCTTTGAAAAATATTTGGCAGATCAAGCAAAACTTTCTTTTGAAAGGAAGAAGCAAGCTAGTAATAAAAGAGCAACACGAAAAGGTCTAGCCTCGGCCGCTTCTGAGTTGAATCCAGCACTAAATGAAAACAAGCAAAACCAGAGAAGCAAAGTTCTTTCGAAAACAGATAAGCGTTTGCAGAAGCATATCAAGAAACTCCACAAGAGGGCTCTTGAGTCCCAGCGGAAAGTGGGATTGCTAAAGGGAGCGAAACCCTTTGTAGCAGCTAGGAAGAGGGAAGAGAGGGCCTCTGAGAGTGAAGAGTCTGAGTACTTTCCCACGGAGGAGGAGAAGGAAGAAGTGGCTGAGGCCGACCTGTCTGAAAGTGGCATCGATTGTGAACATAAACGACTGCCCAGAGGTCGGAAACGGCAGAAGAGAGTCACAGTGCAAGAGATTGATGAGTTTTTCCCAAGTTCTGGAGAAGAAACGCAAGCAACAAGAGGAGGAGGAGGTCGGAAAACAGTGAGGTGTCGAGATGATGGAGATGAAGATTATTATAAACAACGCTTAAGGTCAGTCTGCAGAGATTGCAAACACGCTGTACCTTTTTGTTTTATGTCAGATAGCAGGCTTTATTAATAAACAGTTGTTGTAGATACAGTTTACTGTATTAGCTCTACACTTGTCTAATCTTTCTGCAGCCTCAGCTTTCTGGAATTAGCAGCAACCCAAAGTCCTCTGACCCAAACAAAATGTGTGTACTTCCCATTCTTCACCCAGATAAGAGGGGCAAAGTTTATGGGAAGAAAAGCTCAGGGGAAGGGCTGGGCCAGAAGCTTAAGCTGAGTCTCTTTACATTGAGAATGGTCTCCCTGAACAAGGTGACTTATGTTGTGTTATGGTGGTTATTTCTTTGAAAGCAGGGAAGTGTTCAAATCATCTTAGAGGACTTTCCTTCAAAAAGACATAAAATGTATTTAAGTTTGAGTATAGGAAAAAATAAGCTTATGTGACATAGAATGCACGGGCTTTCCTTTGTTCTCGTGTGACAATGTGCGTGTGACAATGTGCACTTCTTTTTCACTGGACTTAAGGGTAAAGTATATGTCCCCTTTTTGCTGGACTTCTAGAGTTCAGTATGCTTCCTTTTCATGGATATTTTTATTCCCAAGACTGATCCACCTCGTGTTTCAGTGACTGTCAGTATACGATACAGGTACTACATAAGGTAAGGTCTGAAATCAATACTATGTACGGCCACGTATTTTTGCAAGCCAGGGATAATAGGGTTTTACAGGTTTTCTCAGCTGCTGCACATCAAATCTTCAGTATTCATTCATTAAGAGCTGTAAGAAATTGAGAGAAAAACTAATCTGTTTAACTTTATTAACAGAATATTATTTTCTTTTTTTTAACTTGTTTTCTTTTAGAAGCAACTCTGTCTACCTTTTAATATTATTTTGACACCAAGAAAAAACATCTTCAAAAACTGCTTTGAGACTATTCCTTTATATTTATCCCTTGGATGACTTTTTCTCAATTCTTAGCAGTTTTTTCTTGTTTCTAAACATGAGACCTAGTTTACTGTATTTATTGTAGCTTTCCACAGACCTCAGTGAATGAAGACTGCCCTGATATTTTCTCTGGTCTAGAACTGCTTAGAAGTGTTCATTTTGCCATATACATTTTATAACTTATTTTTTTTAATGTTTTATTGTGAATTATATGATAGTTTACATGTTTACATGAGAGAACTTTAATTTTACATTCATTCCATTGTATATCATTTCATTGCCATGGTTCCAATCCCCGTCATGCATCATCAACCGACTAAAGGGTATATCCTAGAAACCCGCCCCCTCCCCTCACTCCTCCCCCCAAGTCTTAGGCCCACAGGCCCTCTCCCTGTCTGGATCCAAAGTCCCCAGACACTTCATGGAGTGTCCCCAGACACTCCACGTCATCGTCTCTGTCTCCATCTCAGGGATCTCTGATTCTCTGGGTAGGGTCCCATTCTCGGCTCTTCTCCGTTGATGGTCCTAGAGACCTCCGCTCCTAGACTGGAGAAATAATTGCTCCCTTCCTTGCCACCCTCATAATCCAACCCTCATAATCAGTCCTGATAACCATTATTCACTACAGTATCACGAGTTACCCAACTGTATTTCATTTCATCAGCTCTGCCTAGACAGATTGGATAGTACTCCCTGGAAATTCTGCTTTCCTCCATGCCCCCTAGCTCTAGGTTTCCTCTTGAAAGCTTGTAAGCCAGTCACTTCTTGCCTTTGTAGTCCCCTACTCCCCATTTGGGTATCCAATGTCCAAGTTGCCCCTCTCTGCCTACTCTGTGTGTGGAGGGGGTGGGAATGTTTCTTGCTGTAAGGATTTGTTCCTTCTTTTGAGTCAATGCATCCGTAGGTATAGGTCAAGTTCATCAGATTGTATCAGCTCACTCTATTTTTTTTTTTTTTTTTCTTTTCCTCTTCTTTCTTTTCCTGGTTGAGCTCTGATCATCTAGTCATCCGGTCCAGGTCACGTGGGTACTATCTGCAAGTGTGGGTGTTCTTGTGCCCATACCCTCTCTTCCCATCAGCCAGTAGCTCTATTCTCCACTCGAGTCCTCTGTGGCCACGCCACTGACTCTGGGCCCAGGAGTCCCCAGGTCTCCTCACACTGCTTGCCAAGCAGGTCCCCAACTGGGTCCACAGAAGCCCACTGAACATTGTAGGGCTTAGCTTGCCGCTTCATTGCTGCTTTTAACCCTCTTCCCCCTTTCGGTGATGCGTGCAGTCACCAATCAGAGCGTGAGTTTCCGTTGAGTCTTAGTCTTGGAAGGGGGTTTGCGTTGAGAGGACCTTACCATTTGCCTTGATGTTTCCTAGGAAAGCGATTTGTTTGTTATAACATTTTTAAAGCATATGTAGCATGGTGATGGTTGTGTGGAGTCGGTTCTGACTCATAGTGACCCTGTATAGGGTTTCCAAGGCTGTAAATCTTTTGGGGAGCAGAAAACTTCATCTTTCCCTTGCAGAGTGGCTGGTAGTTTTGAACTGCTGACCTGCCTCGCTGATAGCAGCCCACCTTATAACCCACTGTGCTACCAGGGCTCCTTATACGTAGCATAGTTCTTTAAAAAAATAATTTGAAGAGCTAATAGGATTTGCTTGAGTCTTGGTGTGACACTATAGGATAAGTTCTAGACTGCTAACAGCAAGTTCTATGATTTAAACCCACTAGTTACTCCTCATAAACCTGATACAGTGTCCTTATGGGTTGGAACCAACTCGATGGCACTTAACATCAACAATATATTTGCTACAGAGACATGCAAGCTAAGTTCAGTAGAGCTTTAGCATTCCCATTCTAATATTACTTTAAATATTCATGTAAAGTGGAGCACTCACTTAAACTTGTTAATTCTCAGTACAACTTTAAAGTTATTTTGTACATTTAATGCTGGTGAAATTGTTTGAAGAATATTTCTCAGATACTTAGCAGTAATCAGCATCAGTCTTTTTCTTAACTACTGTAGAGAATTAATAAAATGTTAATCTCAAATTATTGATTATAAATTTAGAAACAGTATATTCTTCCAATTGAATTGGGTCAATATTAAATATATTTAAAATATATCAGCATTTTGATCAAGAGCAATTAATTTTGATTGAATTTTAAATCAGAGGTTTAAATTCATGGCACTAAGTTTTTCTTAATAACGTTAAGATTGTAAAACAATTTATTTTCAGATCCCTATTATAAACCTTTTCTTCTTTCTTTTTTTTTGTTTGTTAAAGTTACAGCAAAATCTCTAATGAATTTCAGAAATATCAATAATTCTGATTGCCACCAAAATACTATAGCTCTTAAAATTTTATAGCTGTGGTTATTAAAATTTCTAAATTGCAGATATCCACAATGAAATTTTTTTACTAAGTCTCCTTTGGTTTTCTTTGAATAAGGGCATGCTAAAAGAAAATAAAGTATTCAGGATTAAGAAGCATATTCAGAACATATCAGAATTTCTAGTCACTCTTTTTTCATTGTGTTAATTGTTATTTTTCTTTGTACAGACTATCCATGGGTTACAAACATTGAACCAACCCCTGTAAAACCTATTATATTGAAAATTCTAGGACATACAATGATTCCTAATAGCAAACTGTAGTCTTGGTGTGGTGCTATGGAATAAAGCACTGGTCTGCAAGGTCAGTGGTTCAGACTCACCAGCTGCTTCTTGGAAACCTGATGCAGGGTCACTGTAAGTCAGAACTGACTTGACACCACTTAACAACAATAATAGCAAACTGGTGCTACTTTGTAACATGTGTCAAAACATTTTTCTTACTGTATTTTTATGATAAAGATGTTTTAGTGTATCTGGAAGCATTTCTCTGATGTTTTTAGGCATTGCAAGCTGCACTGTATGCGAAGATAAACATTTGACTAACTGATGTTAGCTCATACTGTACCTCCCTGTTCCAGTTTATGTTCAAATGTGACTGAAAGACAGACATAGAGACGGAACTCATTGAATCTGAGGATTACCTATAGATTGACATTAGAATGATGTTCCCATGAATAAAGAAAAAGACCTTTAGGATTATATTTTAGCAATGGTCTGATATTATATGATCAGAATAAAGCCATATAACTTGTTAAGTCCATTAAGGCAGTTTCAACTTAATAGTGACCCTGTATAGGGTTTCCATTGGAGTGGCTGGTGCATTTGAACTGCTGACTGTGCAGTTAGCAGTCCAGTGCTTATCCTACAGCACCACAAGTCTACAGCATATAGAATCATTTTTCTTAGTGGTAAGAATTTAGTACTGTATAGCTGCAAGGTCAGCAGTTCGAAACTACCAGTGGTTCCGCGGGAGAAAGATGAGGCGGTCTGCTCCCGTAAAGATTTACAGCCTCGGAAACCCTGTGTAGGGTCGCTATGAGTCGGAACCGACTCCACGGCACATCACAACAACAACAACCCGCCCAGGCTAGGTGTGTTATATTTTAACTTAAAACTGTTGACACTGAATCAAGTGACTCCCAGATATCTCCTCCCCTTTATTCTCTGAACTTTAGAGCCCTAGGTCTTTAATTAGCTCTCTAGGTTAGTAATCCTAAGTAGGGATCTATGTTGTACCTGATAGCTACTGGGACCTTCCTACTGAGCCTTTCCAACAGTTTCACCCTGTCTGGAAATGGGTGATAATACTCATTAGTCTGCCTCTGATATAACCCGAGACTTCAGAAGTCTTCAAAGTCTTCATTGTTTTTTTAACTTCTGAATGCATTGTAGAATTTTTGCAAGGCCAACGACTTATTCATTGCAAATACCTTTCTTCAACAACATATAAATGGCAAGTACATATGTGGCCCTCCCCAGATGGAATACACAGGAATCCCATTGACTACATCTGTGGAAAGAGATGGTTGAGCAGCCAAGACAAGGCCAGGGGCAGACTGTCAAATCTATTGTCAGTTGTTCATATGCAAAGGCAGGCTGAAGCTGAAGAAAATGAAAACACTGGAGCTAAAATATGTCTTGAGTATACCTCACCTGTATATAGAGATC